GTAAGCAACAGTGTCAGTGTTAACCTGGAGTTATTATCATAGGCGAAGTTCACGATCGAACATCTTCCGGATAGTGAAAATGTTATCATCTCCTGTAATGGTGACAACGCATTGGCGCATCGCCGGTGATGCGTGCTAGCGACGATCACTTCTTGATGGACCGATGTCCTCTTTTCTGTGCAAATCAGGGACCACGGACATGTTTATGTTGATTTTATTGATAACCTTCCACGTTTAGAAAGTTATCAATGTTTTATGATGTTACTTTTTGTCACGTAACTGATTAGTTTCGATTAAACTTGTAAAGTACTGCTCGCGTTAGAATCGTGCGTGATGTTTCAGGTTTGGTCTCTGGTTATTTCTGTTTCTTAAGCAGAAATGCATATCATTTAATAGTACAAACCGTTATTCTTTCCTGGGCCTAGCGACCCGAATGCAGATTGCTTACTAGGGTCTATCTTTTACGCTGCGCTGCCATCCGCTGCAAAAATTTTTTAATATGTTCAGCATTTTAAACCACTCGGTATGTGACTTTACGTACAATCCTGTGATAGAAGGTTTTAATTATATATTTCGTAAATGTCCGTCTACTGGGAGTTTCATTTATTTCCTGATGTACTTGTAAATGGAAGCACTATGTGAAGTTTTTGCCGAACCTAAATTTATAAGAATTGCATTTTAGTTTTATTATATCTTCGTGGCATCTGTTTGAGTCCAGTAAGTCTCGTCAGTGTAACCACGTCGCGTATGCGTTGCTTGTTCAGGAATCAAAGGTACATGAGACAGTATGAGTAAAATAATAATAAACTGTGGCGGCTCATTCGCATTTTGATCTCCTGCGTGGCGACCCATTAATCTGCAGAAGAGTCGGACTGATAACAAAGTAGAAGTATTCCAGATGTTGACGTCGGCATTACAGCGCTACATATAAGTGACGGTGACACCAGAAAGAAATGGTTTCAACTATCGACGCTGATTCGCCAGCCGTACACGACCAGTAAGAAACCGTTACATCCTTGAGACTCACTGTACCCTGGACAATGACGAACACCGTAAAAGGAATCTTCATTTTGTACTGGATGTTACCATAAGTCATATATCGACGTGCCTCCATGTTCTTTCGAAGCAGACCCTTTGCTATAGCGTCACACTCGAATGTCATGTTACGAAGCGATTCCGCTGAACCGACCCGTTCTGAAATCTGGTTTTTCTCCCACCTCTGAATACACAATTGATCGACCGCTCGGCACGAATGTAAATTAAGCTATGCAATGAATGGTGACTGATGCAAAGATCTTGG